GGGCACGCGAGTTCGGGGGCGGTGACATCATGCGCGGGGGGTCTGGGGACAGCCGGGGCGGGTGGCGGGGACAGGTGGGGCATCTCGCAGCGGCGGCGCGCCAGAGGAGGGGGTCAGCGAGCCGCCCGAGGGGCCCCATCAAGCAGCGGCAGGCGGAGGCGATTTCGACGGGCCGAAGCCGCAGCAGGCGCAAGCACCGCCTGTTGAGCCCGCCCTCACCTTGCTCAGCAGAACGTGTCGCAGCCCGCTGCGCCCCCACGCTGGCGCCTGCGGCGGCCAGGCACGGCAGAGACAAGACGTGGTGGGGGCGACACGCACAGCAGCAACGGTTTGAAAGCTTCAGGGGCGGGAAAACCAAAAGCACGGGAGTGCTGTCGCTTGCCTCGCGGGGCCGGTGAGATATTTATCCGCACACCGGCGTGGGCGATGGGGGTTGCGCATGCTGGTGACGTCCATGCACCCGTCATGTGCCACGCTTCAATTATACCTTAGTCATGCATCAGTCGTCGCTGAGTTGCCCGGGCCACGACCTTGGGCCCAAGCGCGACCGCTAGAGTGCGCGTGGCCCCACCTGAAAGGCCATGCCGCGGTTCAAAAAGGCCTCCGGCGCCAGCGGCTGCCCCGCGCGCGTCTTGTTCTCGATTGGCGGCTGCACGTGTGCGCGCATATGCAATTTCAAGGAGCAGCGGATGATCTCGAGCTCGCCACACGGGAAGCATTGAGAGGTAACAGAATCCACTCCTATGCCGCAGCGGCGCGAGCGCTCCTCCGCCTTTCACACGCGACTGACCGGCCAACCCTGCCCGCTCTCCCCCAAAACCCGGCACGCCGCCCGGCCGTCGGCCCCGCAACATAGAGATGCCCACCAGCTGGCTGAAGTCGCCGCAGAAGACCAGCCGGAGGCCGCCCCAGGGGCGGGCGTTGTTGCGCAGCGCCCTGAGGGTGGCCTCCAGCTCGTTGAGAAACTCTGCAGACACCTGGGCGATCAAGGTGGGGGATGGGCGCCGCGCATCGATTGCTTGACAGTAATGCACAGCTTGGGGATAAGCCTTGAGAGCCACCGGTCAGATATGCCCCAGGGGGGGGGGCGGCGGTGGCGGAGTGCTGAGAGGGTGGAAGGGGGCGCATTTTGCCCTGGGAGGGAGGGGCTGGAGACTGGGCGTGGAGGCCGAGCGTTCCAGCAGGGGCGTGAGAGGCCGGCTGCAGACCAAGGGAAGGGGAGGTCACCCGGCGTGCTGAAGTGCTCAGCAACAGTGCTGTAGCGCAGAATCCGGCGCGGGCGCCCTTCCTCGCAACATATGTGACCTGGAACCGCCCGCCCCCCCGGCTGCCGACGCCACCGCCGAGATCTCACCATCGAGATTTCGTCCAGGACTAGCGTCTGAGTTGGGGGCCAGGCGCGTAACACAGACATGTTCAGCGAGGGCCGAAGTGACGAGTTGCACAGGTACCGCGAAGAGATTGATGCGATACAAAATAGCGGCGCCCCAGCGTGGCAAGGGAGCGCAGCGGCGGCAGCGCCGGCGGCGGCCCAGCGGACGCTCCCACGCCTCCACTCGTTTCAGCACACGGGGGAGGGCCACACAGCCTCCCCAAACCCCAGGCCGCGGCAGCGGCGTGCCCTCGCGCCCCAGGCTCACGTCGAGGTCTCGTATCCGCTGCGCGTTCTTGCGCTCAAACATGCGCCCCCAGTCGCGGTACGAGTTGATGAGCCCGCACCCCATGGCGCTGTGCAGCGTCTGGCCTGCAGCGGCGGGCGGGCGGCATGTGCCGGTTGCGTTGAAGGGTCGATCGCCGTGGCGGCGAGCCGCGCGAGCTGGGAGAGGAGGGAGGCACTGAGAAGAGAGCAGGCAGCGATGCCAGGGTGCAAGGTGACTAAGAAGCGCGCAAAAATAGACAGGACACAATAAGAACATGGGCAGCTGCAGCAGAGCACCAACTTGAGGGCCAGACGCCACGCAGCAAGCTGTGCAGGAAGCCAGGCTGGCATGCGGCGCCCCAGGCCGCACGGTGTCCGCGCGGCCGCCCACCAGCGATGTGCGTTGCTGCGATGCCCGTGGCCGCCGTGACCGCGACGCGCGTGGAGAAGAGCAGGCCGAACTCTGACCGCAGCTGCCCGACGATGTGAGACAGCAGGAACGACTTGCCTGGGGGACAGGGACAGGGCAATGGGTGCACTTGTAGGCATTTGGGTCGAACAAAAGTGAGTTAGCTGGCTGCTGTGTGGTCGGGTTGGGGATTTCGGGACGCAAACGGGTAGAGACGAGCGCGACAACGCGCACGTGCCCGGCAGGAGCAGCGGGCATGACGACCGGCCGGGTGCGGCGGCCGGGCGCGTCTCTGCCTGTGAGCAGGGTATCAAGCGGCGTCGCGGCTGAGCGCCATGACCACAGGGCAGCGCCGCACCCGTGCCGGCGTTGCCTGTGAAAAACACGTTCTGCCGGTCCTGCAGCACCGCACACGCCACCGCCGCCTGCGGGGTTCGGTCGGGTGGCAGGAGGGATTACACTGGGCCGGCGCAGGCACCAGTCACATGCTGGCCACAGGCTGCCTTGTCGGCCTTGTACCCCCCAACCCCCAGGCCTAGACCTAGGCCGTTTATGGTGCCGCGCATAGGAAACATCTTGAAGAGCGTGCACACCTGCTCATCACTAAGCTCAACAGGGGCGGCAGCGGCAGCCCTCTCGTGCCCCGCCGCCCCTCCGCCCCGCACAGCGCCCGCCGGCCCGGGTGACTGCGCCGTCGCGCCCTCCACGGCGCCGCCGCCGCCGCCGCCGCCGCTGCGCCTGCTGCCGCCCGCAAGGCTGTCTGACACGTGAGTCAGCATCGCGGTGCCCTTGCCCAGGCTGTCAGACACGTGCGTGAGTGCGCCCACGCTCGCGGCCGGCGCCGCGCCCCGGGCTGGCAGCGGCACCGCAGCCTTGGCCGGCCCGGCCACCCTCCCGCCACCGCCGCCGCCGCCGTCGCCGTCTGCTTCGGACCCCTCTATTTCGTCGTCGCCCTCGCTATCTGATGATGAGACTACGATGGGGCTGGCCTGGCATCCATGGTTTTGCTGCTGCGTCTGTTGCGACCCATGTCGCGCTTGCTTTTGGCACTGCCCGATCTGTTCCTCGCCCTGTGCGTGTCCGTCTTTGCAACCGCCTGCGCCAGCGCCACAGACCTGGTCGTCCTCTATCTCATCGCTGCTGTCGTCAATGACGACCACGTCAGTGGGGGCGAGCACGCCCAGTGCTGCCGCCATGCAGCTCTGCCGGGCGCTCTTGTTCCGCGCAAGACAGACGCTGGCGCGAGGCGGCGTTCGTACACACACTGGGCGTGCCGCCTCCTGCCTGGGATCTGCGCAATCCACACTGTCTGTACGACTATGTTCAAGCTTTGTGTACCAGGAAAAGCGCCTGATTTGTTTCGAGAGTGCGAATTGCTGCTGGCATGTGGAGTGTGGTGAGGCTTAAAATCTCCTATGAAGCATAAATCCGAGTGCAGTAGTACAAAACCCGTCGGGCCCTGTGAAAACTCGATCTGCAAAGAGATGCAGACTACCTGCATTCAAAAATGGTGGACCCACTCGTTTCAAAGGAACTTTCAGGCGCATGAAAACGTTGTAAAGTGAGCCTTCAAGGCCTTGGACTCGTGTCTGCACGAGTGGTGGCATCGCGTCCGCGGCCAGCACGCACAGCACGCCAGTACAGTTGGGTGGGGGGGTGAGAAGTGAGTAGTTGTTGCAATCCATCCCGAGAACCCTGATCATTGAGTCCCCACCAAACCTCTTAGCAGCCAGAGGGGTCAGGGGGCAGCCCCGGCAGGTGACACACCCTCGGGTTCTAGGTGCCCCCCTGTTGCTGCCTGGTACCAGCGACAACTCCCACAGTCACTCAAAGAGTTTGATGTGATTGAACCATGATTACAGCAGCAACCCACACACGCCTGCCTCTGCAGTCAGGACGCCACCGCTGTAGAATCCGCACTGCAGTAAGGAAAGCAGCACCCTCCACCCTGACGGTTCACCAGCACCCCCCTCCGAACTGCCTGAGTGACAGCGCTGTGAAATGCCCTAGGCAGGGAGGGACCCGCCGGCCCTCGCCCTGCCCCAGCGTCGTCGATACACGAGTACGCACAAGGCCTGAAAGTCGAAGCCCTAAAGGCCCCCTATCCGGGACCGTGCATGCTTCAGCGCGCAAGGCTACCTTGTGTGAAGCGCTGAGGCTATGCACTGCAGCCCCACAACTTCAAACCCTACACATGCACGAGCGCGGAAACCCACCGTGCCAGAAAAACAGGCCGGCCGACGAAACGCCGGCTGCCTGGGATACCTCCGCCACCCGCGCGCTCAGTGTGCTGTCGCTGGTGCGTGGGCGCCATTGCTGCGGTTGCTGCGGGGCTGTCCGTCCAGCGCCATGACCCACTGCTCTAGCGACTGCAGTGGTTCAGGCACCCACTTCCGCTCATCGTCAATCCGCTTGGCCAGCCACGGCTGCCATGCAAACCTGTCAAATTTCTTTGGCGGCACCACGAACACCAGCCGTGCCGCCCTGCTGCGCTCTGGGCCCAGCCGCGCCAGCAACTCCTGCACTGGCTGTGCTATGATGCCGTGCTGCGAGCTGGCTGTGAACTGGAGTATGAGCGGCTGGCTGCAGCACAGCACGGCGTCCCACGCAGCGTTGCTGCTGGTGCGCGGTCTGAGGTAGACATTGTCTAGGAGTCCCAGCGCGCCCTCACCCTGCGACCCAGGGCCATCCCACTTCAGCGTCAAGCCGCGGGGAAGGGGATATTTGCTGCTTGCGATGCTCGATTGCTGCGCCTGCTGCTCCACTGGTGCCTGCTGCCACTGCTGCTGCTGCTGCTGCTGCTGCTGCTGCTGCTGCTGCTGCTGCTGCTGCTGCTGCTGCTGCTGACCGCCACCCATGATCTCGTGGTGGGAATCTGTGTCCTCTTCCACCTGATGCAGCATGTTGGCCTCTTCATACTCTGTTGCGTTGCTGCCGTGAGGGCGCCTGCGAGAGGGGCGCAGCTGGCGCACCGTGCAGGAGACGCCACCCTGCAAAAACAAATTGTGGCCGTACTGCTCGAACAGCGCGCCCCGCAGGCCTGCCGCGCGAGGGTGGCCGCGTAAAGCCACCGGAAACTCCCGCAAATCACTGCGCCCGTCGGTCTCCAGCTCCTGTAGCACCAGGCGGGCGGCGTGGGGAGATGCAAACCACACACAGCGAACGCGGAAGTCCGGGGTCACCTGCGACAGCGGTGGTGCGACAAACAAGTGAGACACCACCAATCCAGTCTGGTTCTGACGCAGGAAAAGCACACAGAGACAGGCGTACAACGAGCTCAGACGGCGGCGAGCGTTCCCCTGCATACGTGATGGCACACCTTGAAGTGGCCCAGGCTATGGCTGTTTAGGTAAGCTTTGTACACGTCGGGATCGCTGATGGCCCGCACGAGGCTGGACACGCTGTCCTCCCCCAGGTCTGGCTTGAGCTGGTCCTCGGGCCGCTCTGTGGGCATCGCCAGCACATGCCGTATGCTGCCGCCAAACCAAGTGAAGCTCGTGAGCATGGCGTCCGCTGCAACCTCTGGGTACAGGCGCGCCCTGCAGGCCTCCAGCTCCTCCAAGCTCCAGACGGGCAGGTACAGTGGGTCCTGGGAGCCACTGCAAAGCAAAAAGAGCAGAAGGATTTGGAGTGAGTGAGATGGGTCTGATGGCTGCATGCCCTTGTGCACATGGACACAGGTAAAGCTGCAGGATGCACAAGCAAAGCACATTACAGCTGTGCACAATATTTGTTACGATCCCGCGTGGCTGGCAGCCAGCAAATGGGCCCCAGATGCTGTAGCCAGCGAAGGACCCACCAGCCCTTCAAGAAGCGCTTGAAGTTGCTGTTTTCGATCGAGGACAGCACCACCGTTTTGTACTTGCCACCAAACTCCACGGGTGGTGGTGATCCCTCGATGATGTGCCAGATGTTGCGGCCATCAGCTGGAGGGGGGAAAACAAGAGACGCAATTTGGAGGCGAATGGCTGACTTTGGGGCATGCTGTTAAACGCGGCAGTGACAGACCTGTCAACCCTACTCAAGATTGACGGGTGTGGGTGTGCTGATGAGGGTGTGACACATGGGGTGACCAGCACAATCCAGAATATGTTGCACACGGATGCAATTCGCCCCAGACTGCTTCTCCCCTCACCGCCAGGATCAGGCAACGACATGACTTGTGCAGCCTTGACGACACCACCTTGGAAGTCAAACTGCAGGCGCACTCGCCCCCCGAGGTCGTCCAGGTAGTCGTAACACACGACCTGCTGCTGCTGGCCAAGCCGCCGTATCAGATAGAGCGCAGCTGCGCTGATCCCGATGCCGGGCGTGCCTGTGACGATGAACCCCAGCGGCTCCGCGGCCTGGCTGCAGCGCTGCTGTACCAGGTCGAACAGCTGCCTATAGCAGGGCCTCACGTACAGGCTTGTACGTAGCCGTGGTGGCAGCATCAGTGACAGGCCTGCTGGCAGCTGCAAGCACCCGTCCTCCTCTTTCAGGTGCACCAGCTGCTTGGCCCACTTGGTGAGAGACTCGCTGGACAAGCCGGCTGCAAGAGACAGCAAGAGGGCGAGAGCAAAGCGTCGCAGTTGCGTGGGTGCTTGTGACCAGTAGTGGAAGCAAGGCGGCATAGCAGGCGCATGCAAATGCACAGAGCCATGAGCGGTGCCCTGGCAAACACTGCCTGTGGCCAACCCCATGCAGCAAAAGCCCAAGCCAGCCAGCCAGATTGTAAGATGCACACAGAACATACCTGATGTTCCGCCTGGACAACAGCGAAGCAAGGCCAGGGTGTTGGCAATGCGAAGCGGCAAACGGCATCACAGGCACAGAAAAAGGGTCGGCGGGTGACAGCGCTTAGATGTGGCATGAATCAGGGGGCACTGGGGGAGAGCAGCAGCAGTACAAGAGCTGTTTCAGCACAATCAACTATGAAATGGGGATGAGGTGAGCTGTGGCTAGGTCGTGCACAATTGGTGCAAAGTGTGCCCACAAAAACATGGGTGTCCGTGCGCACACAGTGGATTCCAAGCATTGAGTCCCTGAGAGACGAAGGAACTGTCAGCCACTGTCAAGCGTGCTGTGAACACAAGGTACAGTACCCTCTGCCACGTGGGCGGCGCCACAGCTGAAACCACCTCAAATTGCCTGCCAACACCTCCAAACTTCTGAAGGCATGGAACACACTGCTCAGGTGCCGCACCGCGTCAGCGTGTCACGAAAGGCCCTACTCACCCCAGACAGCTGCGGTGATGGCCGCCTTCCGATCGCCAACTGGCAGGCCCAGCAGACCGGCAGCCCAGTCCTCGGGCCTCTGGTAGATTGTTTCTGCCGCATCGCCGCGAAACGCAGTGTGGTCCTCGCCTGGGAACAGCTCAGGCAATGCCTGCAACAGCTGCCGCCTGGAAGTGGGCGCATCCATGGGGACCGGGGCCTGCAATAAAAGGCCACGTGTCAGCAGCGTGTGACAAGCAGCACACATATGTATTAACGCTTGACCTGCAGTATGACCAGCACAGGGATGAAGCCAGACTGAGGGCATCACTACTGCAGCTCTTAGCATGCACTGAGTGCAGCCGGCTGCTGTAGCCCGGGCCAGTGCACTGGTGTGCGTGTCGTGCGCCAGCGCAGCAAAGCAGGGCCGCCAACGAGCGCACGCACCTGGCAACAATCAGACACCCCTCAGCCGCCTCGCGAGAAGGCTGGAGCGTAGCACACGGGCAGGGTTGGTTGAGCAGGCGAAGAGCGAAGGATTGCAGAGGGGCCCCAGCCTTATTCTTGTGCCCCTTGCCTGATCCTAGGCCGTCAGCAGTGTATACTTATGCCGTTAGTGCAAGGGCCAAAGCGATGCACAGCCTAGCGAAGCCTGGAGGTGCAAGGGCCTGCTCACGTAACCCATTGAATGAGTGGGAATGAAATGTGCGCACTGAACAGATTTTTGAAACAAATGAGCAAGCATGTTCACGTCCGTGGTCGTCGCTGGAACAGCATTCACCCAGCCAGTCGCCTCCCTGGCAGGCCAATGTGGTCCGCCGCCAGGTGAGGGGCGACCAAGGGACGCCCGGCCTCCTGCCTCGCGCCGCCATAGAGCGGCGAGTGCAGCGCAACAGGGCGAATTCAAACCTCATCTCAAGCGGACTGATTGCCTCCCCGGCGGCGCCCGACAATATGCGCCCGCAATGGGTGTGGGAGGTGCAGAGCACCAGCAGGGTCGAGCCCTCCCGCAAATGTGTACAGAAGTGCATATGCGCGCCTCCTGCCACGACACCCGGCATACTGACATCGTGGCAACCTATAAGCCGGATCATACAGTATAGCTAGGGGGCCACGTGGTGTAAGGCCTGCATTTGCCAAGAGGCGTGCAGCAACGGCAGCTGCACACGCAGGGGCATCGGCCGGGCTACCTGTGAATCTACAGCACAGCGCCGCAAAACACAATCCTCGAGCAGTTGAGGGCGCGCAAGCACACCCATGCAAGGGCACTGTTGTGTTTGCCAAACCCCACTGACCTGTGGAGCCCTTGCTTGTTGGTGTTTACGCCATCTGCGCGGACTGGCCCGCGGTCCGGACATAAGGGCCCCTCTTTCATGACTGCTGCGGAGGTCGACGCCAGCTCCGCTCTCACCCCGCCACCAAGCCAACATCACCAAACTTCTTTCACTGCACTGATCACAAGCTTTAGCCTACGACGGCCGGCGTCTGCACTTTTTGGTCTGTTGCTGCAATTGTTTTTGTCTCTTGCCTGACACAGGTGATGGCCAAGCACCAAAGCGATGTCGGCGTCATGCAGGCTGAAAGGGCTAATGACGTGGATGGAGGCCGACCACCTCTTGGCGGCGGCACCCACAACGCCTGCCGGGGTTTGCTGCTTGTGCGGTCAAGCACCTGCTGTTACTTGTGGATTTCAGGGCCCAACCCAGTCTCTGGGAATCGTGACTCGCACGGCCGATTTTTTGCTGTAATGACAATCGCAAGCAAGAGTTCACGGTGCAATCACAACTGCATCAGCCCAGGATGCCGCAGCCTGGTGGGGGTGGAGTGAGAGGAGGCACGCTGGTTGGTGGTGCGCGCAAGGGCCGAAACAGGATGAGGCCAGCGCCCGCGGCTAGGTGACAGGGTTGAGAATATTTCTTGCGCAGCTCCAAGGCATTGCCCGGCAAACATCAGCGCACCAACCCGCCCATTGAAAGCCGGCGGCCACGCGCCCACCTGAGAGCCACGCAAGCCTGAAGTCGACCAGAACAGGTCCTCTGTGCACGCGGCCGTGGCTGCCGGCGAGCATTCCACGCGCCGCGCTGGGCGGCTGCCCTTGCGGCGCGGGCCCCAGCCCTGTCACGGCCCAGCCACTGGTGCGCGACAACATGTCTTTGCAGACCGCCACCGGCACACCGACGCATTGCAGGGGCCTTCCTTGCGGTCGGCCGCACTGCTGGCGTATAGAGCGGGCTGGGGGTGCCACTGCGCGGCCACGCAGGGGGGCCCCAGGCCGGGCCGTCCGCTCAGGGAGCGCGGACGGGTCCGGCCGCGCACCCTCCTGCGGGCGCGTTGCAGGGTCAGCGACCCGGGGCACTCTTGGGGCTGGGGCTGCTCTGGGCGCGAGAGACTGACCTCGCCCTCGATGCCGGTCTCGTGGGTGGCGTCCAGTGGTCTGAGTGCGGGCGGCGGCGCGCGCATGGTTGGTTGCGGCCGTCAGTCAAGGTTTTAGTGGGGGCTTGGTAGTCAGTTGCTTGTGTGAGGTTGAGGCGGTCACGCGGCCAAGCTGCTCCCTTGGCACCCCAACATGTGACCCCCGAGTCCCCCGCTTGCCTGAGAAAAGTGCAGCCACCCAGCCCTGCGGCCCCCTCCCTCGCCCCAACCTGCCCCGGGCTGCCCCGGGGCGCGAGGGAGGAGCGGCGTCGATGAAGAGCGCCTGGGCCCGTGTTGGGGAGCTTCCTGGTTGGCCTCGGTGGATGTCGCTGCAGCCGTAATGTGGGTGGTGAGAGAGGAGGTAGGCTGCGTGGTGGTGCACGCAAGGGCCGCAACACCATGAGGCCAGAGCCCCTGGCTAGGTGGCAGGGTGAGAAAAATTCGTGCGCAGCTCCAAGGAATTGCCCAGCAAAGACCAGCTCACCCACTGAAAGCCGGCGGCCACGCGCCCACCTGAGAGCCACGCAAGCCATAGGTAGACCAGAACAGGTCCTCTGTGCACGCGGCCGTGGCTGCTGGCGAGCATTCCACGCGCCGCGCTGGGCGGCTGCCCTTGCGGCGCGCGCCCCAGCCCTGCCACGGCCCAGCCACTGGGGCACAGCAACACGTCTTTGCAGACGGCCACCGGCACACCGACGCACCGCAGGGGCCTTCCTTGCGGTCGGCCGCACTGCTGGCGTATAGAGCGAACTGGGGGTGCCACTGCGCGGCCACGCAGGGGGGCCCCAGGCCGGGCCGTCCGCTCAGGGAGCGCAGACGGGACCGGCCGCGCACCCTCCCTGCGGGCGCGTTGCAGGGTCAGCGACCCGGGGCACTCTTGGGGCTGGGGCTGCTCTGGGTGCGAGAGACTGACCTCGCCCTTGATGCCGGTCTCGTGGGCGTCGTGAACATGTAGGGTTTGGGGGTGGCGCGTGCGTGGTTGGTTGCAGCCGTCAGTCAAGGTTTTAGTGGGGATGGGTAGTGGCTTGTGTCAGGTTGGGGCGGTAACGCGGCCATGCTGCTCCCTTGGCACCCCAACATGTGACCCCTGAGTCCCCCGCTTGCCTGAAAAAAGTGCAGCCACCCAGCCGTGCGGCCCCCTCCCTCGCCCCAACCTGCCCCGGGCTGCCCCGGGGCGCGAGGGAGGAGCGGCGTCGATGAAGAGCGCCTGGGCCCGCCATGTTGGGGAGCTTCCTGGTGGGTCTGAGTGGCAGCGCCGGCAGGACGACCTGACGGGTTGGTGAGCGGGCAGAGATGAAGGAGCAGGAGCCTGCGCTTGATTGTGGTCCACTGGGGGGTGGCGCCGACCATGGCGCAGTTTTTGGGAGCACACACCCTGCTGATGCACTGCTGCAAGAGGCACGCACGCTGCCCTTGCACTGCTGGCCACTGCGCTGCTTGCCTGTGCGCTTATCGCAGTATGAGCGTGTGTTAGTGCTTGATGAGGCCTCCGAATCGACGAGGTGCGTCGAGGGTCCTCCAGAGTAGCGAGGAGCCTGTGGTTGAGTGGTCTTCGTGAAGGTCATAAGAGAGGTATAAACGACACAAGATGCTGATATGCAGGATTTGAAAATACATATACATAAATCCGCCAACCCCCAAGCGCTCAAACGGATCCAGCCCCCGGCTGCCCTGCCACTTCATACGGTTTCCAAGTGGCTGCTCAGGACAAACCCAGGCCAGGCACATCAAAACAATGATAATCATTAGCATAGTTTGACGCTATCAATGGGGCGGTCAGTGATCACGCGGCTGAAGTCAAACACGTTCTGGCGCGCGTGCCCTCGTGATATTTTAGGGCACATGCAGCCGCGGGATGGCGACCACTGGGTGATTCTGCGCCGAGAGCGTTGGTGAGCGAGTGCAGCATTCTCCAGCACCTCGTACTACATCGTAGCCTTCATCAGAGCATCTGCAACAGATGTCTGCGGCAACACATGACCTCTGCTGCATGGCTTTGCCCTTGTGTAGCCAGAACCCAGAGGCACAGCAACCAGCTTAACTTCTGCCCCCCAGGCATACGCGGTGCGAGCGAACGGCATCACCTCAAACCTGCTGTGCTCCCTGATTATCGACTTGCATGCCTGCCCATTGACACATGATGCGTTGAGTCACTTTCATAGCCAGGGGATCTCTGTTGACGAGCATGTGTGGGTGGTGCACTTCACCCCGCCGCGCACACCTTCATCAGGCGTACGCAGCTGCATATCGTCACCCCGCAACACAGGTTGCTTGCTGATGCACTAACGAGCTTTGAACGGCTCTGGAACTCGCGGGTTCCTGGTTCAGATGTTATTTGGGGATGTCATTATTTTGTGCAGAAGAGCGCATGGCTGGTCGGACGTGCCACTGACTCCAGGCCGGCGGGGCCACCTGCTGCTGGCTGAGGAAGCTGGGTTTGCAACCCCGTAAGCCATGCGTGCTGTTGTGCAGGATACTCTAGTGCAACTGTGATGCCAAGGTGAACCAAGAAACGGCAGTGACCTTCTCATGTGCAGTAGGTGGCGGGGTGAAGAGAGGCAGCAGCCCTGCTGGCGGGGGGGAGGCCCCCATGCAGGGCTGCCGTCTGCGTGAGGTTCAGCAGGGTGTGTGTGTGGGGGGGGGGTTGCAGGGCAACCTATGTATGTGGGGGCATGTGTAAGTGCGAGCAGCAGGCCAGACCTGCCCACGACGGGTAGGCTGTGGGAACTTCAAGTTCAATTGCCCCCAGTGCGCGGAAGGTTGAGCAGATCGCGATGCACACATGTTCAGGTGCCA